TGGTAACCCCATGGGGGCTGCAGTTCCCTTGATGGCTTGCATCTATTTTTGACATGGAACCACTCAGATGGTGAAGACATCAGCTGGCCACGCTCGTCCTGCACTACAGAAAGCGGGAAATGGCTCCTCCCTGGGGCAAGGGAAGGAGAAAAGGGACTCACGCCCCACAGGGGACTGCAGGGGTGCACGTGGCTGCATGGCATCCCCAAGGGCAATGGGCAGCACTGGCTCCATGGTTCCAGAAGGACAATCCCCAAAGAGCAATGGGCAGCACTGGCTCCATGGTTCCAGAAGGACAATCCCCAAAGGGCAATGGGCAGCACTGGCTCCATGGTTCCAGAAGGCTGAACAATCCCCAAGGGCAATGGGCAGCACTGGCTCCATGGTTCCAGAAGGCTGAACAATCCCAAAGGGCAATGGGCAGCACTGGCTCCGTGGTGCCAGAAGGCTGAACAATCCCAAAGGGCAATGGGCAGCACTGGCTCCATGGTTCCAGAAGGCTGAACAATCACTTTATTATTCTATACTGGTTAATAAACCCACTGCCCTCACAGTCAGTCTGACACAGGTGGATCCAATTGGCCCTTGAATCCAAACCCATCACCAGTGGCCAATGAGGAAACCACCCTTTGGTAAGCAAATATCCATAACACATGGGACATGTGCACGACAGCAGGGGCAGCAAGTGGAGCTAGGAGTTGTTTATCATCCTTTTCTCTGAGCCTCTCACAGCCTGCCCCAGCACCGTGCCTGGGAAAGTTCTGTTTCCTCTCTGTGGCCAGACAGCTGCTGCCACAGGCACAGGAGTTGTTTAGGCACTAAGAATGTATGAAATAAATTTCATTTTAGCATTAAGGAGGAAAATCTAGGGAGGCCCTGAGACAAATCTGAGCCCATGTGAGAGTTGCAGTTAATTGAAGTGTCTCAGATGTGGTTTTTTTACACCATTTGGAATTTGTTTTCCCAGAACTGGGATCTCTTTTGGAGAGCTGTGACTGGGGCTCACACACATCACTTTGAATTTGGTACTTCAAAATTAGCTGGGGTTCCACACCCAGCTGCACTGAATGCCAGGAAATGTGGATTACTGTCAGCCTTGCATTTCCACAGGGCTTGTCCGTGTGGTCTCCTCCTTCCAGCTCCTTCCAGTGGAGCAAACACGGGATGCTGGGGAGCCCCAGGGCTCAGAGCATTCCTCTGCACCCCCTGGAAAGGCTCAGAGATGGACACTGGACACTGGCTCTGCACAGGGGCCCAACCAGCTGAACGAGACACAGGCCAGTGGGTAAAGGTCTCTTTTCTGAACCAAGGCCGTTCATGCTTTGCCAGGGCCTTCCCTTGAGATGCCTGAATAAATTCCCTGGGCCTGACAGGGCCTGCAGAGCAGCCCTGTGAGTGACAGGGACTCTGCTCAGCTCCTTCCTCTGGGGTGTGCAGCTCTGAATTCACTCGGGCACGAAGGGTCATTTCTCAAATCCAAGGAAAACTTGTTGCAGCAATTTTTCTTTTCTGGTGACTGTACAGGGACTGAACATATTCTGGAAATCTCCAGATCTCCAAGTGGCCTTTAATTAACTAATCTTGATAAACTGACTGTGCCTAATGCTGGGGGATTTCCCAAAGTCCCTGGGCTTTGGGAGGGACCTTCCTGCAGTGGGAAGAGCACAGGGCTGTGACAGCAGCTCTGGTGGCAGGGGAGAGGAGGATCCTGGAGCCACAGCATGGCTCTGGCAGGAAAGGACCCTGAAGCTCCTCTTGGTGTGGGGTTGCAGCCCCTTTTGGAGGGGAAAAGAGCCCAAGAGGTGTCTCTGTGCTTCCTGCAGCCCCTGCACACAGCCTGGGCCACAAACTGGCACCGAGCCTGTTGTTCCTCTGCCTGGAATTCCCCAGCCCTTCCTGCAGCTGCAGGGGCTGCTGTGGGACAGACACTGCCCTGGGCTCGGGGTCCTTCCTATGGGGCTGTTCCAGGCCTTGTGGTGCCAAAGCCCAGCTCCTGGTGAGAGCTGACAGCGAGGGGAAGGGACCCACAATGAGGAGACAGGACCCAACCTGGGGGACAGCGTGGGCCCTGCCCTGTGACCCAAGGGGACAGGGCTGGGGGCTCTGGGGCTCTGGTGCTCTGAGAAACGCCCCCCTTACACCCAGACTGGCACCAGGCTCCTCTCTTTGGGCACACAAGGGAGTCCAGCCTGAGTTCCCACAGCTGGGTGGGAACAGCTGGGTGGGAACAGCTGGGTGGGAACAGCTGGATGGGAACAGCTGGGTGGGAACAGCCTTCCTTCCCCCCTGCCAGCCAGGCTACCTGAGGACCAGCAGAGCCCCAGGAATATTCAGAGCACAGCTCAACCCCAGGCTTCTTCTCTATTTTTGAGAGAGAAAACACCAGTATTTGCAGAGCCACCCTCCTAATACTTTGCCTGACCAGCCTGATGGTTTTTCTCCTCAGCCCTCACTGGCCCAGTGCTGTGGGCAGTGCTCAGGCACTCCTGGTGCAGATATTCAGATATTCCAGTGTGTTTTGCCTGAATCCCCAGGGCTGGTGTCAGCCCCGAGCCGTGGGAGGGGAGCCAGGCAGTGCCTCCAGGCTGGGGCACAGCCAGGGCTCTGCTGTGCAGCTGTATTTTAACACAGAGCCGAGCAGTGCTGGGTGTATTTTAACACTGTCCAAATATTAACTCTGCCCAGAGGATGTGGAGGTGTTTCCTTGACATGGCAGCATCCGGAGCAGGAGCTGCCAGACACAGAATCTGCCTACAGCTCCTTGGGGCAGCCCTGGCTCTGAGAGAGAGAACAGGCAGGGGGGCAGAGAACAGGCAGGAGCAGGGGAAAGGCAGCAAAGGCAAGGCAGCAGAGCCCCTGGGACGAGGGAATTCACAGGACAGGCTCCTGCTGCCACCCCATGGCCATCAGGGCCACAGTGGCCAGGCACTGCCCCAGGGCACTGACCCAGGGCCCTGTGAGCTGGCCCTGCACCAATCCTGCTCTGGAGCCACAGTAAACTCAGTTCCCATTGTCCCTGGTTTGCTCCAGGTGGTGTTAGCATTTTTTGGTAACATTTTCTGAAATCAGGCAACAATCTACAAAACCCTCACTGTGGAAGGGGTGATTTTTTGGTGATTTGGCTGAAGAAAGTGTGTTGAAAAGTAAACTCAAGCTCAAATTAGATTTATATAAACATAACCTCACCTTTTACAGAAGAACACCCAGGCACAGGGGCTTTCTTTAGCTCTGCCCTGAAGTAGCAGCTGCTGCAGGTCTCAGGAAGTTTCCACTGAAATGCACCCTCACTTCATTAATAGTTGCTTTTCCACCTCTGCATTTTTCTCTCTGGGCTTTTAAGCAAGTTTTATTGTAGTGTTTATACAGCCAACTCACTCTGCCCTTGGTTTATGTTTTTCTCGCCTGCAGCCACTGAATTTTGAGGTTTATTAGTTACAGGTATCTGAAATCACATTTTTTTAGAATTGACTGCCTAATAAAACCCCTTAAAACTTTCTGTTTAAGGCAATTGTCCTCCACCCCAGGATCAGGTTCTTACTGAGTTATACCCAGGATCAACAACTTCTTTCTGGCTGTTTGTTCCACCAAGGCAGGTAACAGGGATCCCATCCCTTCCAATAAATCAGGTCTGCATCATTCATTGGAGAGGTACCCAGGCAAAGAGCTGCCTTTGGGCACAAGCTGTGCAGAGAAGGTTGATTGTTTCCTGGCCTGGAATGAGCAAAGCAGAGCCTGAGCAGCGCCAGGGCAAGGCCCAGCCTGGGCTCTGCTCTCCCCAAAGCCGGGCTCTGCAGGTGAACAGAGCCCCTGCAGCTTCCCTCTCACTCAAGGAATTTCTGCCCAGCTCCAGAAGCACAGGGCTGCAGAGCTGGCTCAGGCTGTGCCCCACAGATCCCTGCTCCTGGCCCCCTCCTGCCACATGGCTCCAGTGCCAGGAATGAATAAATAAATAACTGGAGCTCAGTGTCCAGCTGTTTTCCATGGGCCAGAGGAACTTGTTAAATCCTCCAGACCTGCCTCCCTTCTGGCTGCCTGGAGAGACCCTGTGGGGCAGGGTGGGACTGAGCCTTGCTGGGAGATGCCAGCCAGCTTCCTCTGGTGGCCCTGGGTGGCAGCTCTGGGACACAGATCACTGCCCTGCTGTCACTGCCACTGGGGTCACAGCAGCTGAGGAACTGAAGTTCAGGTTTAATAGTTTGTTTTGGCCTGAATATTACAAATATTCCAGGGATCCAGCAGTGGCTGGAGGGCTCTCCCCTCTCTCTTGGGGCTGTGTACTGGCTGCAGGCACCTCTGGCCCCTCAGTGGTTCCCCCTCAGCAGGTAAAGCTGCCTGTGCCCAGGTGGTGCCCAGGGACAGGGCAAGGAACCTCCTGCCTGAGGCCAGCCCTCCTTGGCCAGGTGGGGCTGACCTGGGGGATTGGGGATGTGGGGGTGTCATGGGGGATCAGGGGGATGTGGGGGTGTCATGGGGGATCAGGGGGATGTGGGGATGTCATGGGGGATCAGGGGGATGTGGGGATGCAATGGGGGATCAGGGGGATGTGGGGATGTCATGGGGGATCAGGGGGATGTGAGAATGCAATGGGGGATCAGGGGGATGTGGGGATGTTATGGGGGATCAGGGGGATGTGGGGATGCAATGGGGGATCAGGGGGATGTGGGGATGACCCTGGGGTTAGGGGGATGTGGGGATGCAATGGGGGATCAGGGGGATGTGGGGCTGACCCTGGGCTCAGGGGGATGTGGGGATGACCCTGGGCTCAGGGGGATGTGGGGATGACCCTGGGGTCAGGGGGATGTCCTGGGGATGACCTGGGGGATCAGGGGGATGTGGGGCTGACCCTGGGCTCAGGGGGATGTGGGGATGACACTGGGCTCAGGGGGATGTCCTGGGGCTGACCCTGGGCTCAGGGGGATGTCCTGGGGCTGACCCTGGGATCAGGGGGATGTCCTGGGGATGACCTGGGGGATCAGGGGGATGTGGGGCTGACCCTGGGCTCAGGGGGATGTCCTGGGGCTGACCTGGGGGGTCAGGGGGATGTCCTGGGGATGACCTGGGGGATCAGGGGGATGTGGGGCTGACCCTGGGGGATCAGGGGGATGTCCTGGGGCTGACCCTGGGGTCAGGGGGATGTCCTGGGGCTGACCCTGGGCTCAGGGGGATGTCCTGGGACTGACCCTGGTACTGGGGGTGTGGGGAGCAGGGTGACCCACGTGCAGCCGCTGCCCTCAGCGCTTCTGCCCTGCTTCCATCTCCCATCACAGACACACGGGCCCCTTCTCTGCCTAGAACATCTCTTCAAAAAAGGGGGACCACAAATGAGACAGCACTGCAAATATTTGCAGATTCAGAGCAGTTAAGCTCTGAAAAACTTGAGCTTGCAAAACATTTGCTGAAATGTGGCTTCTGCCCAGGCAGTGGTTATTCCTCTGTAGGGAGGCTCTGCCCTCCCTCTCTCCCACCCCTGCTCCTGGCTGGGTCAGCACTGGGGGAGCAGGTGAAGGATTTTTGTATCCAAAATACTTTATTTAAAGCTTCAGGAACATTCAAATGTATTGTCAGTGGTATTTAGAACAACTACACAGAATGCTTGAGTTTAAATTGGAGCCGGATGCTCACACAGGAGGCACAAATTCCCTGTGCTGACTGCCCTGGCCATCCCAGGACAGGAAGGCTCTGTCCTTTGCAGCCCCCAAGTTAAAATGCTGTCCTTGCTGGGGGAGGATCAGCCCCTGCCCACCCTGAATTTCAGCTCCAGTACCAGCACTAAAGGCTCCCATATGTTCCGAGCTGTTTGATGCATTAATTTCACGCTTTTGCTCCCGACACTGGAGAGGCACAGGATTTTGTTAAGCTGTTTAATTGCAGTAAATTTCTTTAGCAGACAGTATTTTACGAGCTGCAGAAATACCTGCAAGGCTTGAGCAGGTGCCAGCAGTCCCAAAGCCTGAAGGCAGTGTGTACTGGAGCAGGAACTTCACAAATTACAATTTCTACATCACAAAACCATAACTCAGAACATGCTGCACTGGGCTGCCACCACGCCTTGTCCACAGTCCCTCTGCAGCTCTCATGGAGCCCCTTTAGGTCTGGAAGGGGTCTACAAGGTCTCCATGGAGCCTTTCATGTGCCTAAAGTGAACGTGGCCCCCTCCTGCCAGGGACAGCCAGGGCAGGGAGGGTGCTGGGGGTGACCCAGCCCAGGGCTCCCCCAAAGCCCTGCTCTGCCCGTGCCTCTGCTCTGACCTTTGCCCAAGCTCCCAGCTGCATTCCTCTGCAGCCTGGCACCACCTCTTCTCCATGCCACCCCCTGAGGCTGGCTGGCTTTTAACCCTGCCTGGGCTGAGGGGATCCCCTTTTCCCCCAGAGCTCCCCAGGCAGGGGACAGGGGAGGGTTACCCCCAAACCAGGCTCCTGCTGAAAATGCCAGCTCTGAAATGCTCATGTGTCCATGTGGGTCCCCAAACGCAGCAGGAGTGCCACCCACGGGGGCTGGCAGAGAGCTCAGCCCTCTGTGCACTCAGCCCCTGGCCCTGTAGGACCCCAGTGTCCCCAGTGGGACCCCAGTGTCCCCAGGGTTCCCCATGCAGGAAGGGACAGCTGCCTGGCTCTTGGAAGGGTCACTGAAGTCTTGCAGGGAAAAAGTGGCACTGCATCATCTCAGGGACACACACACACACACACAGTCTGCCCCCCAGACAGCTGATAAAGCTGTTTGCCACAAAATTCTTTACATTCCAGTCCCAGGGTGGCAGCTCCAGGGGCTGAGTCAGCCACTGACCAGGCAGAGCCTGCCCTGCCCTCTCACCAGGGTGAGCCCCTTGCCCTCTGTGCCCACTCCTTGGTGTTTTTGTTGCACAGGACAAAGCCCCAGCTGCGTGTGGCTGCAATTTTACACCATTGCTTTCAGCAAGCTGATCACATTCCTCAAACCCACTGCCTTGACACAGTGGCAGCAGCCTGTTAGCCTAATTCCAGTAAGGATTTAAAAACCACAAACACCCCTTGTTTTTGACCACAACTGTAGGTTTAGTATGCCAGAAGTTACTGTTGAGATGTGTTATTTCCAAAGGACTATTGCAAGATCTTAGTCATAAGAAGGTGGGACAGACTTGACAAAAGCCAGCAGAGCCCAGCCCCTCCTTTGCTTTCCTCTCCAGCTCCTCCTGGCAGGTACACGTGGGCACAAGGGCTCCCTGGCAGCTCCCAGAGGGCCCCAAGGAAACACCTCCTCTCGCTGTGCTGCATGCCAGGGCACATGGAGCTGCTCACAAGTGAATAGTCAGACTCTGAAATTTGGTAACCTTCCCCTCGTGCTGTGTTTCCAAATGCCCCCAGTCCTGGTGGGAGCCCTGCTGGCCCTGCTCAGGCCCTGCTCTGGCTGCAGGTGCTGCACAGCAGGCTGGTGTTGGCCAGGGTGAAAGGTTTGCCCGTCAGCAGCGTCTCACACTCCAGGCAGGCAAAGTGCTTGTGGTGCCAGGCCAGCCCTTCCACCTGCTGGTAGTCGTCCGAGAAGATGATCTACAGGACAGACAGACAGACAGACAGACAGACAACTGCTCATTTCCACCACCCCACCAAGCTGGAGCGTGGCAGGAGCAGGGAGAACCAACCCCACACCTCCCACCAAGCCAATCAGCCAGGGAGCTCAGGAATGGGTACACAGAATAATCACAGGATGGTCTGGGCTGGAGGGGACTGTAAAGGTCACCTTGTCCCACCCCCCTGCCCAGGACAGGGACACCTTCCCCTTGGTCACCTTGTCCCACCCCCCTGCCCAGGGAAGGTGTCCCTGTCCCGGGCACAGGGGGTCCCAGTTGCTCAGGTCACTCTGTCCCCTGGCACAGGGGGTCCCAGGGGCCCTGGTCACTCTGTCCCCTGGCACAGGGGGTCCCAGTTGCTCTGGTCACTCTGTCCCCTGGCACAGGGGGTCCCAGGGGCCCTGGTCACTCTGTCCCCTGGCACAGGGGGTCCCAGTTGCTCAGGTCACTCTGTCCCCTGGCACAGGGGGTCCCAGAGGCTCAGGTCACTCTGTACGCTGGAACAGGGGTCCCAGTTGCTCAGGTCACTCTGTCCCCTGGCACAGGGGGTCCCAGGGGCCCTGGTCACTCTGTCCCCTGGCACAGGGGATCCCAGGGGCTCAGGTCACTCTGTCCCCTGGCACAGGGGGTCCCAGTTGCTCAGGTCACTCTGTCCCCTGGCACAGGGGATCCCAGGGGCTCAGGTCACTCTGTCCCCTGGCACAGGGGGTCCCAGTTGCTCAGGTCACTCTGTAGCCCGGCACACGGGGTCCCAGTTGCTCAGGTCACTCTGTCCCCTGGCACAGGGGGTCCCAGGGGCCCTGGTCACTCTGTCCCCTGGCACAGGGGGTCCCAGAGGCTCAGGTCACTCTGTATCCTGGCACAGGGGGTCCCAGGGGCCCTGGTCACTCTGTCCCCTGGCACAGGGGGTCCCAGGGGCCCTGGTCACTCTGTCCCCTGGCACAGGGGGTCCCAGTTGCTCAGGTCACTCTGTCCCCAGGCACAGGGGGTCCCAGGGGCCCTGGTCACTCTGTACCCAGGCACAGGGGGTCCCAGTTGCTCAGGTCACTCCCCCCCGGCACACAGGTCCCAGTTGCTCAGGTCACTCCCCCCCTGGCACACGGGTCCCTCCCGGTCCGTACCTCGTCGCAGCCGGCGCAGCGGGGCCGGAGGCTCTCGCAGTAGTGGCGCCCACACCAGGCGGCCCCGCTCTTCCAGAAGTAGATGAGGTCGACGAGGGGCTCGGTGCAGCGGCAGCACACGAAGCAGCCGGGGTGCCACTGGCGGGAGTAGCCGGCGCGCTCGGCGTACACCACGGGGCAGTCCCCGGGCAGCGGCTGCTGGCACGACTCGCAGCGCTGCACGGAGGGTGCTGGTCAGCATGGGCATGGCGACACCCACCCTGCTGGCCAGCTCATTCTGAGGGGCACTGGGACCCTCCCAAACCAAAACCTCCACCAAAACACAAACGTTCTCCAAGAAGAAGTTAAGAATTCCTATAGTGCAGCACATCAGAGATGTAAATTTGAAAAGAGATCAGGAATTTTGGTCTTTTCTCATTGTTTTCTGTCTGTGCCTAACTCAGCTGTCACTCTACAGATTTCAGCAAGTGTTTTCTATTTCTAACAGCCAAAGAGCCAAAATTAGATGTGATTAATCTCAAGATTAATGGCATCCATGCACACTACACACCAGACCAAGTAGGTCTGCTCTTTATCTGTGCCTGCAGAGCAATCCTGTGATTAGTGAAGAGCCAGCCTTAAAGCTCCACTCAGAGGCTGGCAGGACGCTGTTCCTACTCCCCCTGAAGCTGTGAGCAGCCTGTGTGTCACACGGGCTGTGGCTGCCCTGCTGTGCCCCATCAGAGCCTTGGCACAGCAGTGTCCCCTCCAGGTGGCACAGGGGCAGGGACTGGCAATGGCCCTGGGATCAGATGACAACTTACAAACACCCCGATTGAAGCCAAGAGCTTCTGACAGGTACAATGGGAGAACCACAGAATGGTTTGGGTTGGGTTCTCCCTTGTGGGTCACTGACCTTCCTGCACCCATCAGTCACACCCAGGGCTCTGCACCCATCACTCACACCGAGGGCACTGCACCCATCACACCGAGGGCTCTGCACCCATCAGTCACACCGAGGGCTCTGCACCCATCACACCGAGGGCACTGCACCCATCAGTCACACCGAGGGCTCTGCACCCATCACACCGAGGGCTCTGCACCCATCACTCACACCGAGGGCACTGCACCCATCACTCACACCCAGGGCACTGCACCCATCAGTCACACCGAGGGCACTGCACCCATCAATCACACCGAGGGCACTGCACCCATCACACCGAGGGCACTGCACCCATCACACCGAGGGCTCTGCACCCATCACACTGAGGGCACTGCACCCATCACACCGAGGGCTCTGCACCCATCACACCGAGGGCTCTGCACCCATCAGTCACACTGAGGGCACTGCACCCATCAATCACACCCAGGGCTCTGCACCCATCACACCGAGGGCTCTGCACCCATCACACCGAGGGCTCTGCACCCATCAGTCACACCCAGGGCACTGCACCCATCACACCGAGGGCTCTGCACCCATCACACCGAGGGCTCTGCACCCATCAGTCACACCGAGGGCTCTGCACCCATCAATCACACCCAGGGCACTGCACCCATCACACTGAGGGCACTGCACCCATCACACCGAGGGCTCTGCACCCATCAGTCACACCGAGGGCTCTGCACCCATCAATCACACCCAGGGCACTGCACCCATCACACTGAGGGCACTGCACCCATCACACCGAGGGCTCTGCACCCATCACACCGAGGGCTCTGCACCCATCACACCGAGGGCTCTGCACCCACCAGACCCAGGCCTTTTCCCGACACCTCCCTGAGACACCAGAGCTGGGGTCAGCCCCAGAGCCAGACCCTGCAGCTGCCTCTGCCCTGCCAGCCCCAAGAGGCCACAGCCCCAGCCGCCCAGCCCTGCTTATCTTGCAGGATCTAAAGCAAGAACAAACACTGCAGCTTCCAACCCTGAGCTCAAGTTTCTTGCCAGCAAGAACTGTTAAAAAAACAACTTATTTTGCTGTTTCTCTCCATGGAAGTTGTTCACAGGGGAAATCTATTCACGGGGCTTTTCCCAAGCATTGTGTAACCTCCATATCCTGCTACTTACACGCTACAAAGAGGTGATCCTTCAAACTTGAGTTGGGATTACAGCTTGGTGCTCCTACATCTCCATCATGCAGGCAGAGGAGTGAACACTTCACTAGCTGAGTTACCAGAGGTGTTGGCCAAAACCATGTCCTGTTCCCTCAGGCTTTCCCATCCTGCTCATGCCCAGCTCGTGCTCTGCAGTGCCAGCTCCCAGGGAAGGAGCTCCCAGACACCACAGGCACTCTGAGCACTCCCTGCATTGCTGGCCTCAAGCTTTTGGGAACAATGATTAATTTGGATCAATTGCCTCAGGATTTGGTTTGATTCCAGGGCAGGAATCAAGCCTTGTAACACCAGAGGAGTGCCCAGCTCTGGGGGTCAGGACTCTGTGCTCTGTGAAGAACACCCATCCCGTGGGACAGACGTGCAGCAGGGATGTGGAGGCAGATGAGGGCAGTGGCCAGCAGGGCCAGTGTCCCCAGTCCTCCCTGGGTCTGCCATGGCCTGGGCTGCACAGCCTGGCTGTCCCAGAGGATCTGCCACTGCTCTGAAAGCTGCTCCATTTTTCAGCTGGTGCCTTGAGAGAAATGATGCTTCAAACTAAGGAGAATAACATCACAGTTATGTATTTATTTATTTGAAAGGACAAACTTGCAGTTTAAGTAAACCTTCATTGCTGGGATGACTTATTGATATGTTTAAAGGAAACCTTCCTTTTTTGGCTATTTTTTATCTTAAAATTCAGTGTTTTGTTGCAATAGTGAAAGTCTTTACTGTGCCCCTGGATTCAAAGTCAGCAGTACGTTAAGAGACCATGGCAGAGGGGAGACATTACCCAATATGGACTGAAAATGAAAACTGCTCTTTCATGTACAACCTCAGTGCAGGAATGGCAGGAAAGAATCTCCTCTTAAAAACACTTGGACACCATTTGCTTTTCCAGCTTTAAATCCTCTGCTGCAAGTCACCCTCACAAGGACCAGGACAAGGTATTTCCACTCTCCATATTTTATGATAAGCATCTGATCAGCAGCACTCCAGACAGTGCTGGGGGAATATAAATCTAAAAGGGTGTTGAGGAATCTCAGCCATTTCTCAGTGGAAATGTATTTGTATGCCCAGGGACCCAGGGCAGCTGTTTCCATTTCCCCAGAGTGATTACAGTCCTGGGAACACTATCTGCATGTTCACAGCTCTGTGCTAACTGGCCAGAGCCTTCACCTCCTGTCATCTGAGGTCTTTCTGGGTAAGAAGCCTCCTTGGAAATACTGACTTGCATCACAGAATGGTGAAGGTTGGAAAAGACCTCCAAGATCATCAAGTTCAGCTTTCAACTGAAACACTGCCCATATCATCCAGGAACATGTCATGGCCAACCTTTCAGAGCTGCCAAGAACTCAGAGCTCAAACCAGTTCCCACAGCAAGAATTCCCTGACTTTGGTGGCCCAGCAAGGCCTTTGCTGCCGAGAAAGGAGATGAAGAAGAGGAGAACGCCGCTCATCAGCCCTGCCAGATGGACCCTTGTGCTCAGCAGGGCTGGCTGGGGCAGAGGAGCCCCCCAGGCCCTCACAGTGCTGCTCCAAAGCTTTGTGATGTGATTGAGCCTGCAGCAGGCATGGAGAATGCTCTGGCAGCAGGATGGGGACAAGGCACAGATCACCCTGCCTGCTGTAGTTGAGACCAAACCTATTCCCAGTGGCTCCCTGAGCCTAGAGCAGCCCCAGTGCTCCCATCCCGTCCCATCCCGTCCTGTCCCATCCCATCCCATCCCATCCCATCCCATCCCATCCCATCCCATCCCATCCCATCCCATCCCATCCCATCCCATCCCATCCCATCCCATTATCCCTCCCCTCACTCACGTAGTGCCCGGCCGTGCTCTCCAGGGCCCCGTTGGGTGACTCGGGGGCCGTGCTGGGGTCGATGCTCTTCTGCTGGGCCTTCTCCTGGGCCTTCTCCTGGGCCTTCTCCTGGGCCTTCTCCTGGGCCTTCTCCTCCTCCTTCCGGCCGCCGCCCTGGCCTGGCAGCGCCACCTCCCCGACGCCCAGGGCCTCAGCCTTGTACCTCGTCACGAAGTCGTGCATGAGCTGCTGCTCGCCCTCGGCAAGGCCGCGGCACTGCGCGGGGTCCTGGTCGTGCAGCGGGAGCTGCCGCGCCAAACGCCGCCGCCGCTGCCAGGCGCCCTCTGTGCCCGCCACGGGCTGCAGCTCCTTGGGGACCAGCTCCATGTACTGCATGGCCTGCAGGGGACACACACACAGCACTGCATGGCCTGCAGGGGACACACAGCACTGCATGGCCTGCAGGGGACACACACACAGCACTGCATGGCCTGCAGGGGACACACACACAGCACTGCATGGCCTGCAGGGGACACACACACAGTACTGCATGGCCTGCAGGGGACACACACACAGAGCACTGCATGGCCTGCAGGGGACACACACAGAGCACTGCATGGCCTGCAGGGGACACACACACAGAGCACTGCATGGCCTGCAGGGGACACATACACAGCACTGCATGGCCTGCAGGGGACACACAGCACTGCATGGCCTGCAGGGGACACACAGCACTGCATGGACTGCAGGGGACACACAGCACTGCATGGCCTGCAGGGGACACGGGGGCATGTGCTGCAGGGGACACTCAGCACTGCATGTACTGCAGGGGACACACAGCACTGCATGGCCTGCAGGGGACACACACACAGCACTGCATGGCCTGCAGGGGACACACACACAGCACTGCATGCACTGCAGGGGACACAGCACTGCATGGCCTGCAGGGGACACACAGCACTGCATGGCCTGCAGGGGACACACACACAGCACTGCATGGCCTGCAGGGGACACACACACAGAGCACTGCATGGCCTGCAGGGGCCACAGCACTGCATGGCCTGCAGGGGACACACAGCACTGCATGGCCTGCAGGGGACACATAGCACTGCATGCACTGCACAGGACACACACACAGCACTGCATGGCCTGCAGGGGACACATAGCACTGCATGCACTGCACAGGACACACAGCACTGCATGGCCTGCAGGGGACACACAGCACTGCATGGCCTGCAGGGGACACACAGCACTGCATGTACTGCACAGGACACACAAGCCATGCACTGCAGGGGACACACAGCACTGCATGTACTGCACAGGACACACACGAGCTGCTGCAGCAGGAGGCACAGCCTGCCAGGGACATGCTCTGCTTGTGCTGTGGAGCAGCAGCAGCAATGCACCCAAACCCTCCCTTCTCCTTCTGAAGGGTTTGCACCCACTGTGCAGAAATAAAAGGCTGGACTGGCTTAGATGCCCGGGGTAGCAGGCTGCTATAAATCCTTTCATCCTCAGAAAACAGACTGGGTGTTTTTATGGTGTTTTAAATTACTTTTTGTTTGTTTGTTTGTTTAAATACAAACCCCAGTTTGCCCAGGAAAGCAAAGCAGCACAGACAGAACTTGCTTTGCACAAAAATCCCAGCACACCCTCCCTTGCTGGCATTACCATGACACTTTTCCATGAAATTTGATAACACGGCTGCTGAAAAGACCAAAAACCCATAAACATCAAAACCCACGAGCAGCCCTCTGTTGCCTTGTGCTGTGACAGGGAGAGCTGCAGGGAGTGAGTCCCAGGCCACTCTGAGCACCCCAGAGCCCACAGGGCTGTGTGCAGAGCAGCTCACAGTGAAAGACCATCCTTTATCAATTAATGAAATCATCATAACACAGGAAAAATGCAGCTGGCAGTTGAGTCTGTGTCACTGAGCAGTTCCACCTGACTGCTGGTTTCACAGCAGAGGGAAAGTGTTTCATTATTAATACCCTGTGACACAGAAAGGAAATGCCCAGAAAGTGCCCAAAATGAAGGCTCTGATTTAAGTGGCCAGGACCTCAGCAGCAGAGTAAAGCCCTTCAGTGTGAGGCTGGGTCAGAGCCCGTGGGCCACGGGGGCTGCACAGTTAACTGCTCCTGGCCCGAGCAGGGGAAGGGAGTTTCCCACTCCGGCATTGTCCTATTGTAGTGTGGAGAGTGACAGGGCAGCCAGTTGGCTCCTGCCCTTCCCTGCCACACCAGCAGCCAGCTGCGTTAGACTTGCTTCTTACTTGAGAACTCTAGCTTAAAAAACTTAGCAGAGAGATTTAACTGTTTGTGGCACACAGGCTGGTTCAGGCTGGGCTTTTCCACACAGAAATGCTTGCCCAGCACTGAACTCTTCAGCACGTCAGGAAAAACTTCCAGGTGCCTTCCACGTTGCCTCCTCTGAGGCAGAGAGCAGTGCTGCAGGGCGGAATTCCTGACAGGAAATGTGGAACAGCAGCACATAATGATTCCATGGAAGCAGGGCTCCTTCCCCACCCCTGGGGTGCAAGTTCAGATCACTGCACACTGGGATATCAGACATCAGCACTCGTCCATCGTGGCCCTGGGCAAAGGGGGGTGATGTCCAGTTTCCTGGGAAGGTTGTTGCCCTGTGGGAGAAGGTGGTGTTTGGGAAGAGCTGTTTGGAGAGCTGTGGGATGCTGGGCAGTGATCTGGTGCACAAATGGCTTTCACAGATATGAGGAAACCGAAGAGGAATGAGGAGAAAGAGACAAGGATTCCCTGACTGCTCCTCACAGGCACTGCCCCACAAGTGGACAGGAAACAACTGAAGTGATGCTGTGAGAGCAGGACCAGGCCAGCAGAGCTGCAGCAGAGCAGCAGCGTGGGGAGAAACCTCAGTCCACTGATGTGCCAAGACTAATGAACATTTACACCAGAGCAAGGGGCCAGCACAGGCACCTGCAGCCTCCTGGTCTGCTCCACCTCCAGGATCTCCATTCCCAACACAAAGTGTTTGTGCTGAGAGTGAGGAAAGCAAAGCCTCAAGGCTTTTTTAAAGGCTTACTTAAAGCCTGCTCAGGGGCAGGTTTCAGTATCTGCCCAGACAGGCAGTGGGATTTCACTTCCTGACTAAGGGAATGCTTGAAGTTATAATTGTAGATGTCAATAAAAATGTGTCCAGAGAAAGGACTGGGGGAAAAAAAAAATCCAAAAAATCCAACCTGACACCAAAAACTGCCATGAAGAACAAGAAGTTGCTACATCTGCTGCTATCACTTATTGTTATGGCCAATGCTTCGCTGTGCTGCCTGAGTGCTGGTAATTTGGAGGAAGAGCATTTTAGTTTTCACTGTTCACCACTGGATCTTGGGGCTATTTTATGATCTGTTCTTTCCACTGTCTCCAAGGACCTAAGTATCTGCTTCATGACTTCTGCAGGCACGGCTTAACAAGAATGCTCTGAACTTCCTCCTATTATTGACCGTCCACTTCAGCAAAACAAGGTTAAAGCCATCCCAAGTGGCCAGCCTGCCTTCAGGAGGAAAGCCCTGGAGCCAGGCAGTTGTGCACTAACAGCTTTTTGGCCCAAGTCCCTTTGAAACCATCCTGAGAGTGGCTGACATCCAACACTTCTCCCCAGCGTTTGTCAAGATGATCTGCAAGCCAGAATTTATCAAGGTTGTCTCCAAAGCTCCTGCCTGTTGTTTACTTGAACCAAGATATATTCCAGCCTGTCCAGGCACTATAAAGAGATCAAAAACTTTCATAAAGTTTTTGAACCTCCCCCATCAGGAGGGTGGGACTGGGCTGGGGGCTTGGGAAGGGAAGGGAAGGGAAGGGAAGGGAAGGGAAGGGAAGGGAAGGGAAGGGAAGGGAAGGGAAGGGAAGGGCCTCGATGAAGCATCCCCAGCTCAGCCCCAACCCAGCCTGTCCAAGGCCCTCAGGGCAACTGGCTTTAAACCAAATTAACCAGTCTGGCTCTGCGGGCTGCAACTACACTTTAACACCTGTATCCCAAATTCTTCTTTAAAAAGGTCTCTGGTTGCATTTTCAGCTGCTTTTTTTTTGTTGATTGGCATCAATAGCTTGCAGCTATTTGTTTCATTTGAGAAGCAGAAGCTCTTCACTGCTCACTCCTGACAGTGGCACCCAGAAGGTTTTACACCACAGCACAGTGAAAAGCCAGCTAAAGGCTTTCCCACAAGAAATGCTCTGCTGGCTCACACCTCCCCATGCTGAAAACCACTTCCACCCCTTCCCACACAGCTGGTCCAGATGGAAACCAGGCATGGCAGGGAGGTGGAGCTGGGCTGGGGGCTCGGTTTTGGATCCAGCCCTCGGAAGGGGACCACGCTCCCTATCTCACCTTTTTACCCTGAGCTCTCTTGAAAATGTTGTATTTATTTGGACCATATTATGCTTAAACTGTAAGGAAGAAATCCCCAGCTCCAGAGCTGAGATGAGAGTGGCTCTGCTGGCAGCAGAGAGGAGCTGCAGGCAGGAGCTCCCAGGCACCCAGCTCAGCTCTCACCAGGCTCCCAGCCGGGCACAGGGAGCCCTCCCACTCCTGCTCCTGGGCACAGGAAGCTCCTCAAGGCTGCTGGAACAGGGGTGGGCTGCTGTTCTGTGAGGGACTGTGAGGGACCCCGGGAATGGGCCTCTGAGCCCACTCTCCAGGCAAGGACTCCTCCAGCAGCACAGGGATGCTCTCTGAGAGCAGGAGAGGAGGAGCCCTGAGGCACAACCACCCAGCTGCCCGCCAGCCCCATTCCTGCTCCTCTGCTTGCCCAGCCCAGCCAGCCCCAGAAGGCCTGGAGGAGTTGTTCTTACATCCAGGCTGGGGCTTTGGAGCAGGCATGGGCTGCCCAGGGCAGCAGGACAGCAGGGATGGTATCTCTCCCCAGCCATGCTTTTACTGCAGATGGGCTTTACCAAAGGACTAAGAGCTTTCTAGTTGTAAAATCCATTAAGACTTCTCCTAGAAATGTAAACAAAGCCATAAACCCCAAAGGCATTCCATCCCACTCTCCTACCCACTCTGCTTATGGGCAGTGCTCCAAACTCGAGGCTCTGTACCCCTCTGAGCCCACCACGGGTTCCTGTTTCTCCCTGACAAGCCCATTCCACAGCAGAGCTCCGTCCCCAGCCCCCGGCTGCCCTTACCAGCTTCTGGGTGAGCCCGGGGGGAGCCCACTCGTAGGTGATGGTGTCGAAGGTGGGGTCCTTGCCCGAGATGTTGGGGTTGGTGACGATCATGCGGTTCCTCTTGTAGACGCGGGCGCCGTCGCCGCCCTTGAGGCGCGCGGTGAGCGAGGCGTGCCGGGAGCCCGAGAGCAGCCGCCCGATCTTGCGGTCATCGTCCAGCTCCGAGCTCGGCCCGTGCTCCTCCTGGCTGCACTTGCACGACTTGCAGATCTTCCTGGGAAATCCCAAGAGAGCATCCAGGGCATGAGCCGGGCAGGGGCTGCCAGCCTTGCCCCAGGGGCACACACAGCCTGGGCTCATGGCATGGACAAAAGGCTCAGGGTGGAATGGGCTGGGGTGGGTTTGGTTGAGTTGGGTTGGGAGGACCCAAAATCCCACCCAGTGCCAGCCCTGCCATGGCAGGGACACCTCCCACTCTCCCAGGCTGCTCCCAGCCCCAATGTCCAACCTGGCCTTGGGCACTGCCAGGGATCCAGGGCAGCCCCAGCTGTGCCAGGGCCTGCCCACCCTGCCAGGGAACAATTCCTAATTCCCAATAACCCATCCAGCCCTGCCCTCTGGCAGTGGGAAGCCATTTCCTGTGTCCTGGCACTGCAAAATCTGCTGCCTCCCACCCATGAGCTGCTGCTTCCCCTGAACTCTGGAAACCCCTTCAAGCATCACGAGATTGGAGATAATTCTCCTCACCAGATTGCAACAGAGCAGCACCAGCCTTGCCTATTATGAATCTTTACATGCCATTAAAAAAGTGACTGCTGGAAGGAACTGATGCTTAATTGACTGTAATTTGAACGATAATAGGTATAAATCACACAGACAAGTGTCTAAGGACACTCTGGTGGCCAGCACTGCCATCAAACACTAATAGCAAAAGGGGCAAAGTAACTCTGACACAACCCCGAGGATTTCAGCAGGATCTTGGAGTAAGAATGAGTCCTACCAGCCTTTAATGGAGTCAATAAAAAAAAAATAATTGTGCTTCCACCAAATGAGTGCTTTAAAGTTTGGATTTCACACAGCTGAGGTATCACAAATGGAGCTGAAGGCATCCAAGGCATTCCAGCTGCAGCAGCACAGCTGGACCGCAGCCTCCCTGCCCTTCCACCATGGGCCCAGCGCCCTGGGGAGCTCCCCAGGAGCACAGAGGAGCCCAGGGTTTGTGAGGCAGCTCAGAGGGCACTAATTCTCTTTTAATTAGTGACATCTGGATGTCTGCATTCCATTTCACAGCCCCTTTGTTGTCCTGCTGGGGCAGGGAGCAGCCCCTGCCCTGAGCTGGGCACTGTCCTGGTGTGCTGCTGCTATCAGGGGCTATTTACCCGAATTTGTGGTTTTAAGAGGAAAAACTGGGACTGAAGCATCAGTAACGAGGTGCAGTGTCAGCAGCAGGCCCATTGCAGGCAGGATCAGGCAGGACCAACGTTACCTCCAGGAGTGTGGCTCGAAGCCCGTGCACAGCCCTCGGCAGCGCAGGCAGGGCGCGCCTCTTCCCACCTGCGGCTGGCTCCCCGACATCTGCAAAACAGCAGCACACAGCTGGAGCAGCACAGCTGGAGCAGCACAGCTGGAGCAGCACAGCTGGCAGGGCTCTGTCCCCAGGGAGAGAGGGGACACTGCCCTGCAGACAGCCATCCCTTCCGCCATCCCTTGTGTCCCATGAAACCTCAGATCTCCCAACACCACCTGACCACATCCATGCAACCCTGCTAAGTTTATCTAAGGATGCTGGGTGAAGGTTTTCCCTTCAAAGTGAGGGAAGGTGGAGGGGCTGGCACATCAAACCCAGGGAACATGCCCATACCCTGGGCAGCCACCTTCACCTCTCCACAGAGACCTCAGGTCTCATTTTGATCCAGTTCACAGAGTTCATGTACTGCACATGGACCTGTGCAAGGCAGAAGGTCAGGCAGGAGACATGGAGGTGCACTGCCATAACCTGATGCTGAACTTGCTTTACTGCACCTTGGACCTCCTTGGTGTGTCTCCAAGTGTATTTTGGGAATGTGGTAGGTTTCCATGCCCCTGGCACTGGACTTTAGGGGGTTTTCCATAGTGAGCAGGAAATACACTGGGAAATGCTCTGGGAAGCAGAGGGGGTGCTGGAGAGACAGGGGGGGCTGTGGCTGTGCTGCACTTTTTGCTGCTCACTGAAAACAGACAAAAGTCACCCATCCTTGGGTGTTCACTGCTGCAGAGACATCCTAACAACCTCCCAACAAGACAAAGATGAGCAAAAACCCACACCAGGAGCCCGGAACATTGGAAAACAAACCTATTTCCTGCCTGTCCCGTGGATTTATCAAACATGGCTTCTTGAGCGTGAGGAACACAGCAGGGTACAGCAGGAGACAAAAACAAAGTGCTGCAGGAGGCAGCAGGGCAAGGTGACACCAGCAGACGCTGAATTTATCTCAGCCTGGATGTTTACACAGGAGCTGTCAGGCTCCTGCCTGAAAGACATGCTTGTTCCCTGGAAAAATGAGCTGGGGGGAAACAGGGACAGCGCCAAGCCCAGCAGGAGCAGCGGCAGCACCAGGGGAGGGTCAGCCCAGCTCAGCAGCTCCGAGCCCCTGCAGTCAGGGATCAGAGCCCACAGCCTGCCCCAGCACAGCCCAGCACCTCCAGGGCTGGGCAGGTTCTGACCACTGTGGCCACCACAGATTGCACTTCCCATCAGGGCTGTGGCATACACAGGTCTCACAATGCCAGCCTTTCTGGGGCCATTGATCGGGTTCTGTGAAAGGTCTTTAATCTCTCTCGAGGCAGGAGCTTGTTCTAGGAGCTGACTGCTCAGTTGTGCACACACACTGAGAGCCTGTCTGACTCACAGAACATCTGCCCTGGGACAGACCCACAGGGATCCTCCTCCAGCTGGCCCAGCAGAGGCTCAGGGCTCAGCCCTGGCAGAGCAGGGCTGAGGCTGTGGAGGTGCCCAACGCTGGTACCTGCCCATGGCTGCAGTCCCTGCCCTGCCTCAGTCCTGCAGTGCAAGATCATGCACTATTTAAATCACCCTTTGGCACCTCACAACAGGCTGGCCTTGCCAGACCAAGAGCAGCGAAAGGACTGAGGCAAAAGAGCAGATGCTGCTCCCCAGCAGGGACCCACGGGGCCCTTGGGCTGACCCAGGCTGTGCTCAGCAGCTCCAGGCTCTGAATTCTGCTCAGAGACAAACCCAGTGGTGATGCTGCAGCTCTTCTTCCTCCTGTGCCAGCTGCCCAGGACAGACAGACACTGAGGATTCCCACAGACCACTCCCAGCCCTGTGCCAGGTACCACGAGCTGCTGGGGTTTAGCTGGCTCCGATCTTAATGAGTCAAACAGGAGCTGAGCATCAGCAAGGGACTGCAAGTGGTGGTTTATCTAAAATACAAACATCTGGATTAAATAAACGCCTTTGGAAAAGGCTCTTTCACTCAAGGGGAAAGGCACAGGGACAAGTGTGGTCAGCAGCACAGGCAGCTCCCCGGATGAGCTGGCACTGGGAGCCCAGGGCAGTGCCAGGGCAGGAAGTCACAGCCCCAAGGGTGCCCAGCAAGCTCAGACCCTCGGGCCAGCAGCTCTGGAGGCTCTGAAAGGCCAGGCAGGCTCTGTCTGGAGGGCAGTGCTGCTCCTCACTCCTCCAGAAGCACAGGGAGAGCTGAGCCACTCTCACTCCCGTCCCCGTGCAGGGCCAGACACAACAGGCGCCAGTGTCCGGTCCCTGCACGTCCTGCCCAGGCACTGAGCTGCTCCTCTCGCTCTGCTGCAGCTCCTCACATCGGCATAAAAGGAGATTTCTTTGCAAAAATTATGCAAGACACTGCAAAAACCCAAAGCCGGTGAGATAATGTGAAACAAATGCTCTGACTAGCCCAGGCTCCACCTATGCCCAAGCCCATCCGAGAAGTGCAGCTGAACTTTGGCATCACCTTCTAACACAAAGGGTTTGGAGACATTTGTAATGCTTTAAAAAAGCGCCAAAACCCCAAAACCAGGCCTATGTCAACAAACTGGTTGAAGGAAAGCAAATCCTGCTCCCCAGGACTAGATAGACGCTCCTTGCAAGATTTCTGTTTTGGCTTTCTGTGCCTCACAGCATTCTTGCTGCTAGAAGACAGAAAGCAAGTCAGGGCAGAGGAAATTCTTGGGTAGTGAAATGATAGGAAATCGAGGCTGTTCTACCCACAAAAACATCAGTGAGCAGTGTCAGGAGCACACCAGTAATGCCACGGGTTGCTGTTACACCAGCCAAAGGCACAGCCATGGGTTGCTGAGCAGCTGGAAAATGGAGAGCCTGGAGTGACAAGTGACAAGTGACAAGGAAAGAACCCAAACACGGCTCCAGCTTGCTCCAGAGCTTGAGGAGTCCTCTGGAAAGGAGCACTGAGCTTCCCTGGCAGGTCTGGTGGGATGCACTCCTGGCCAGGAGCTCTGAGCAGGTCAGGCTCCAGCTGCACAGCCTGCTCTGTTTGCTGCTCAGCTGAGACCCCACAGGGCTCGTGCTCTGTCACCTTCTGGCCAGCCCAGCACACCTTGGCCAAGGACCCTTTGCCAAAGGCTCTGCTGAAACCAGTTTGCCAGCTGGGTTTGCTGCCAGGGACTGTCCCCAGGGGCAGCAGGACCTGTAGAACTCTGGCCTGAAATCCCATTCAGAGTTTCAGGAAGCTTGGCCAGTGTGGAGGTTAGTCCAGGACATGGAGGACCCAGCAGGGGACAGGCAGGACTCGGCTCTCTCTGCTTGCTGTGCTCGGTGTGACACCAGGGCAGATCCACAGCAGGTGAAGGGTGTCCTGTGGCAGTAACCCCTCCTGGCACTGCTGCCCGAGTCACCCACAGCTCTCCAGCCCCAGAAGGGCTTTGGGGACACAGTGCCACAGCCACAGGCCCGGGAGGGGCTGGCAAAGGGGGCCCTGCTGCTTCCACAGAGGCTTCTGGATCCCGAAAGCATTTATTGCACAACACCCTATTTGGAGACCGAAATGGTGCTGCAGACACGTAACCACCTCAAGTATGTTTTCCCCTCCTTTTTAGGGAGGGAAGAGGAAAAGCTGGTTTCCAAAAAGTTACTCCAAGTTCACAACAGCCCTTCAGAGCCGAGGTCCTCGTTTCACCTCTCCCCACAGCCAGTGCTCCTCAGTGGCCACCACAGGCTCCATCCAAACCCTCCTGCAGCATCAGACACCCTGCCCTCGGTCCCAGCCGTGGCACGAGAGAGCTCCAGGGAGGCTGAGAGACCTCCAGAACCCTTTGGGGAGGTTCCTCCAGCTGCAGAGAGTTTGGAAGATTTACAGCCAAGTCTGAACTAGACCCATGAACAAAGGAATGGGGAAAAGCCACACAATATTCACATGGGTGGGACCAGTCTGCTCAGCACAATTGCTGAGGGATAGGGATGGATAGCAGATCATTTGTTGTCATGATTTGACTATAATAGAGCTAGGCTTGCATAATAACAGTGGGCTAGCTCAAACTTCCTTATGGATTTGGGACTGGCTCAAACTTCCTTAAGGACTTGGGGCCAGCTGAAACTTCCTGACGGATTTCCAGTAACTGGAGGATGCAAGGGTTTACATCCAAGGGGAATGCTGCATGCTCCAGTTCACATGCTGGCCATTTGGCTGAACTCTTCCTTTCTGCTGATCACCAGCAAACAGAAGGGTTTGGGTTGCAAGGGGCCTTAGAGCTCAACATCCTCCTTGACTGCACCCAACGTCTGGGGAGGTCCAGCTCAGGAACCAGCTCCCAGTCCTGGCACAGAACAGCCCAAACCATCCCCTGGACCTCCTGCAGGGGCAGCTCAGGTGGGACACTTGGGGCTCTTCTGCATTTCAGGAGAGGCTCCTTGACAGCAAGGGGAATAGGTCTGACAAGGCAAGCAGCTGCCCTCAGAAGGGCATTAACCAATGAACACATTCACCACTGCAGTTCTGAGAACAGCAAAGGGATGTTTTGATTTATTTTCTTCTCATTTTCATAGAAAACATCCATTGTAATCATGACCTGCAAGCAATTTGTTTCCCTGCCAGATTCCAAGCAAGCGTTATCCCAATTACCACACTCACAGGAAAAAAATTCCCTGACAAAAGGCTGTCTTTCATCCCAAATTCTCTCTATTGGATTTATTTCAGGCATCAATGAATGGGTTGATATCATCTGCAATACTGGAAGCACTTATTGTATTAAACTTTGCAGAGTAAGAAGTTTGCTGCCTTTTATTTTAGCAACATAAAGAGCAGGTAAAGGCTCTGATAATGAAGGAAACTATTTCAATGGAGCTGCCAGATCCCAACCCACAGGATGACAGAGCTCCAACAACCAGGGCCTCTGCAAATAGCTCCCTCTTCCAAGAGCACATAGCTGGCAGCATTCCTTTCTTCACTAACAATGTGTGAATTAATGATAAGAGAAGGGTAAATGCTGAAAAATCAGATTTTTTCACAAAGTCAGACAGTGCTTCAGACACTTGGACTTAATTATAAACCCAAACCAAGATGTGAGGAAGTGTCTGGAATGGGAAGAGCTCCCCAGAGCTAATGAACAGCCCCTGTGCTGAG